AGTTTTAAAAAAAAATAAACAGTGTTAAATTTAAAATTAGTTTACAAAAAGTATTAAAATAAAAAAAAAATCCCAGCAGGCGGCATCGATTAGTCTAGGAAAAAAAACATGACACTCTCACATGTTCTTCGAATTATGCGTGTATATGAGCTTATCTTTTGATAAAGAGCTAGCTTTTTTTTTCTCTCTTTTATTATTATATGAAAAATGGTTAATCAACCCACCCAGATATTCCGTATTCGCTCCACGGATAGTCCGGCAGCTAATAATTCAACACGCTTAGGCGACCTCTCACGTCAGTCATGGTAGAACTATTTTCAGTACGAGTATACGGCCGGACTCATCTGCTTCAAGGACGCGTCCTGACAAATCTGTATTTTTATATGAAAGAAAAAGAAAAGAAAAGAAAATTGCAGTCAAAATAAAGTAGCTGAGCAAGCAGACGCTTGCTGTTGATGACTCTCGGCCGGCCATGCATGCTACGTGACAGTGAGACACACACAACACAAGTACCCCTGGTATTGGTATGTATGTAACGACAGCATGTACAAAATACAAATACAGAGAGAGAGAGAGAGAGGTCGTCTATCATGGATGTATCATCGATCAGTTCCTTCGCTGCTGGGCCCAGGGCGAGTGGCGGTCGTTGGCGCCGGACCCAGGGTAGTCCTCCAGCTCCAGATCCATCCTCCCGCCGGCCGCCTTCGCCTCTCCGGCTACGACGGTCTGAATGGTAGAAGAAGAATCATGTCACTCATCGGTAAACCAAGCACTGAAAGAGTACAAGTTAATAAGTAGAGTACATAGCTACCTGATCGTCTGCGCCGCATGACGACGATGGCGGAGCCACCACCACTCTAGTATCCTGCTGCACCAGCTCCAGCCCTGCTCAAAGCCAAAGGTGATTCATGCATGAGAAAACAGAAAATCTTCAGATGGAGAACCAACTGGAAGCACAACGATCGATCGACGACGACGGCGGAGGATTCAGAAGGGTTTACCATGCATACCAGGAGGGAACGAAGCGTCAGCAGCTGTAGCACTTGCGCTTGTCGGCGCGTGGATGAGGCAGCAGCAGCACAAGGCCAGGGCGACGACCACCACCGCCAGGCGTAGCCTCGCCATCTAGCTACCTGAGCTTTCTCCCCCTCCAGGCTTTCTTGAAACAAACTGCGTGGTCGTTGCGCTAGTTAGCTGCTGCCACTCGCTCACTGTTCGGCTGCATCCATGGGATTTATTTACACCGAGATCTGCTGGATCCTCGGCGGCAATTTTTATACTAGCGACTTTGCTGTGGACGAATGAAGAAGATGGGTCGATTGAGGCTTCTGAAGCAGCATCCATCCACGCACAACATGTAAATATGTAATGGTGAGTAGCTGTAGCCCATCTTCGCTATATAACCGGCTTTTCCGCAGCGCAAAGGTGCTTCATTATATTTATATTTATTAGCATTAGCACACGGGATGATGAGCTTCCCTTTTCTGTACCTAGAAAAAGATTAATTAATAATATAAGTACGGAGTAAGTAATGACCAATTGATCCGCATGCGTTGCGTTGTTTTCTTTCTTGTGCATTTCCATTGGCGTTGGCAGGGGCGCTCTGATGATGACTGATCCAAACGCAAGCAGACTGAATTTCCTCGATGGGTTGGTAGCAGACTCAAAAGAACACACACACCCAAAAAAAAAAAATATTTGTACGGGAACATTGTGATCAAGAGGAGATCTTATCGGCGTGCAAGTGCAGTGCATGTTATTGCTGGGTGCTGCTTGCGTATTGGATGCTGACATGGCGCAGATCGATGATGCTGGGAGGGAATTTTCCGCTGCTAGCTGCTTGAGGACTGTGCCTCAGCTCAGCCATCCACCAATCCATACGTACCGGCTTTTCATTCATATCTTCAAGCAGCATGCAGCGTGGGCTGCCTGCAGACTTGTAGTTATAAACTAAACAGGGCCCATTTCCTTTAATCACATAGTGCATTCAGCACTCGAATATGAATAGATAGTTTGTGACCCTCGACTAAACGGCTGAACCTAGTAGTTTACCTCAAGTAAAAACAGTCCTCAGCAGCTCTCCAGCAAGTTCATCCCAATTAGAGCTTGACAGCTCTCAAGCAAAACATATTCTCCATTCCTAACTTCAAAGTTTGTCTTCAGCGAAAACTGCAGCGACATTTCGGTACAATTTTGGTCCGAGTTCGGAAAGAAGGCTTAAAATAAGTTCTGCATATGTCAGTGGTAGAGGTTAGTTACCACTGAATTGCATGCACAACTTTGATGACTCAGCCTCACAGGCACTAGCCAGCATCTTGTTTATAGTACATCTATCTAAAACCGGCAATGGATTGTTTTAGACTTAATTCGTTCAGACGTGAGAGTGTGAGACAGTCTCCCTGCTATGAGGTTGTTATGTGCATTTCTCTGAAAAGGATGATCGAGTTGACAGACTTAACCAAGTTGACACGCGCTTTCTTCGTTCAAGTTGTAACAAGGCATGCAGTCGGCAGACTCTCTCACTCTCACGAGGGGAAAAAATGAATGAGAAGGTGACCCGGCCCTACAATTTGTTACTCTACCCAAGACGACAAGCAAACATCCAGACGTAAAGAAGTTGCAATAATGTAAGGACATATGATCAGGTCAATTTTTGCCGTTGCTTTGGGACAAAATACCATCTCAGCTTCTCAGGTCCTTAGAGGCTTAGACTAGCTAGGTCCATCTTTTTTTGATGGTAGATTAGGGGCCTGTTTGGTTCTTTGGGACTAGAGACTAGGGACTACACAAGGACTAAACTGTAGTCCCTCGTACTGTTTGGTTCAAGGGATTAATCTGCTGCACAAAGACCATGATACCCATATTCAATACACAAATCAGCTAGGGGCTGTACCCCTGTTCCCGCGCTGCTTTTTCTGGCCGCGCTGCTTGCTTTGCCTTGGCACGCTGCCTTGCCTTGCCACGTTGCCGGCAGGCTTTTCTCTCCCCAAATTATTCATATATTCAAAATAGTGTCCATGCAGTTCATAAATATTCAATATTACAAATCATCAGACCTACGATCTCCTAAATAAACCATTAGCTATCCAATCTCGAAACTGATTCATATTTCGATCTTCGTCCCCTTGACGTATACGTCGTCTATTTCCTTGAGAAGAAGACAATATTGGCATTGGTCCTTGGAACATAGTTTTCATCCCGATCACACATATCAAAGTCCGTATCCGCTAAAGCACTCTCTCGAATGAAATTATGAACGGCCATGCAAGCCATAATTATTTGGCTTTGCTTTGCCATTGGATAACTCGGCAAATCTAACAATATCCTCTACTTCATCTTCAAAACTCCAAAAGACCGCTCGATGACATTTCGAAGTGAAGAATGCGAATAATTAAAGAGCTCCTTTTTACCTCTTGGCATTGGTCCTTGCCGAAACTCTTAGAGATGATACTTTGTTCCCTTGTACGGTGCAAGATAACCTGTTCAGTTTGGGTAAACCCGAGTCTACGAGATAAAACTTCCCTACATAACATGGAATTAAGACATAAATGTAGTTGCAGACTTGCAGCATGAAAATTGACGTGCACAACTACCTGAAGCACCCACCAGTATATATAAGATAAAATAAAAATTATTAACAGTTATCTGACATCAAGCATACTAGAATGCTGGCAAGGTGGCATATATAACAAACTGGAGAGTGGACATGAAACTGAATCGCTGGTCTATAGCTCATTAAAAGGCATAGGAGTAGTTAGCAAAGGCAATAAGAAACGTGTTCAAGTTCCCTAATAAACAACAGTAAGTAAATCAAACAAGTCAATGGCTAATGGACATGTCACAGCTCAAGTTGCCTAATAAACAACAGTAAGTAAATCAAACAAGTCCATAGTCAATGTACATCTCAGCTTAAATTCCCTAATAAACAACAGTAAGTAAATCAAACGAGTCAATGGCCAGTGGACATGTCTCCACTCAAGTTTGAGTGTGTGCAATGGCTAATTATCTTAGATGTAGTGCCTAATATAGCTGGAGTGTCTGTAATTGGAAATTATATTTTATTAGCTATTTGCATGGCTACTGGTAAGATTGCAACCACACCACAATATCTATTGCATCACTAGCACACATACTGAACCACCGGTAAGCATTGCACTTGCATGGACTAAATCTACAGAAAAAGATCCGCCAAGAGTAACAGTGGCTAGCACAATCTAGGTGAAACATGGAAAGTAATATGAAAAGTATGTCAATCTAGGTGAAACGAGAGATGATAGGAGACATCAATACCTTCAGGTGGATGTGGAAACTTGTCGCCATACTTCTCAATTGCATCCTTGAATACCCTCATATCATGAACGGATCCAGGCCATCCCGCCACAAGGTAAATCTCATATTGAAGTCACATATTGCCAACTCGTTCTGAGTAGTGTAACCATGCCTCCCCGTATGTTGCACTACCTGATTAGTTGGCACAACTACAAGGACATGTGTTCCATCTATGGCTCCAATGCATTTATCAAAGAAAGGAGAAAACCGAGGGGATTGTAACCTTTGATGCACAGACCTAAAATGAGGATCAATTGTCCTAATGATATCAACTGCTAGCTTGGACACGCTAGCCAGCACCTTCTCAAACTTCCTACTAACTGTCTCGAGTGATCGTGTAAACCTATTTTCAACTTATCTAACAGCTTGTCCTCCACATATCCATAAGAACATCCCCAAAGCCTCCACTGATGACATCTTACGTGTGGACTTCAATCCATATGACTCCACAAGGACATTATGAAGCTTATCAAAAACATTTCTATGCATCCTAAACATGTTGTAACAACCAGTCCTATTACCTAGGTTTCTCATGACCCATTCGTATCCAGATTCTTTAGGTACTCTATACTCAGCTTTGTTCATATATTTGTCGAAGTGAATCATACCGATCATGGATGCAGTAAGGACCATTTGCCACCTCCTCTTCTGAGCCCTCAAGAAATACTCTTCTACAGAAGCATCTTCATCATCCGAACTATCACTGTCACTTGAATCATCATCCTCCGAACTAGCACTGCACTTGAATCATCATCTGATCCTTGCTCTGAATCATCATCATCATCTTTAGTGCCATCTCCCTCAAGTGTTGCTGCATTAACATCATCGACCTGAACACACAAACAGCAAACCGCATCAGACCATAGGTTAACCACTCATAAAAAAGGTTCACCACTCAAGACATAGGTTCACCACTCAAGAGTCAAGACATAGGTTCACCACTCATAAATAAATTCATCACAGATAATAGGTTCATCAAACACATAAGATGTTCATCACACATAATAGGTTCATTAAGCATATAATAGGTTCAACAAGCATAGAAGATGTTCATCACGCATAATAGGTCCAAAGATACTACACTTTACTTAAGATACTACAACCATCATAGATACATCAAACACTCCATTGGTTCACCCGCTGCTGCGCTGGCACCATCTTCTCAACCACAGAAACCTTGACTCCAATGTGGTGAGTTTACGAGAAGATGTTCTGTTGTATTCTTTCTCAAATAATGTTGTAGCTATGAAGAATTCTTCATTTCTTCACTTCCCCACATTCCTTAGCCATGGCCAAGCATCCATCTATTTGTTCCCGCTTCTCTTGCTTCTTCTTCATATGTACGAGTACCTTGCTATTCTGTATTGATCCAATTTTTCATTTGAAAGCTTGTTTGTCTGATCAAACTTGTCCATGATTCCACTCATCATGTTCAAGCAAAGGTGTCTTGCTTTTTCTGGGTGGACTGTCGCTTTGACTTGCATTTCTTGGATGGACTCTCGGCTGTAGTGCCTTCTTTGCTTGCCCTCTTGCAGCTAGAACTACTCTTTGGATTGTTCCCAAACACATCGCATCACTTCTGCGGGACTCCAAGCAAAGAGCCCCGAAACCTCAACGCGTCATCCCCTACAACATCGTATGCTTGCTGTCCAGGGATGCATGAAGATGACCCATCTACTATCACACCTTGGAACATCTCAATTAGAAGGTGCAAGTAAGCAGGATTGCCTCACTGAAATTTCTTGCACTCTGCTTGTCCCTGAAACGCATAGATGAAGAACACAAATGATTAGATCACATCACAGCAAGCAAGGCACATGGTCTAGGTGAAACCAAAGCAGTAAGTACCTTTGTGTTGTTGGTCCACCATTCAGGCGATGCATGAATTTTACCATCAGGTTTTCGGCCTAACCCTGTGTTTTGATTAAGCTTCAACCAGAACTGGTACATTGTCTTGCAATTTTTCACTCGATTCTTCATGCATTTGGTGTCATGCCAGAGATTAGTGATGTGGTAATATTTTTTTCGAATTTTGTTGTAACCTCTAGTGGTCATTGTCCCATTATTCCAATTCCCTTTTCTCATTTGCTCAATAAAAAGTTCACAGTAATAGTATATGTTTTGGTCACTCCAATGTGCCTTGTCATAATCCTTCTATAACAGAAAAAAGATGGCATCACATATCTAGAATGCGGCAAAACTCAACTGTAAATTGGTGTACAAAATGCAGACAAATAAGAGGTACTTGAGGCTTCAGCCGATTGAAATAACAGTCACATACTACTTCACATGAAGACAATAAACTAAAACTATAAAAAGGTAATGCTACTGTAAAAAGTAGTCTAACTCTAACTACACAAGTAGCACGGCAATAAAATTAATCTTTCTAATTCACATCATTCATGTGTGTAGTACCTAAACTCTAAGGATACCTGTGCAGCAATACTCAAATATGTTGCATGGAAATGCTCCTAGTTAAAATAAATATGATTGAGGTAACTACATAAGTAGCATGGAACTAGCAGCAAAGGTACCTACCCTTTGACTGCAATGTAAAAGCGAGAAAATAAAAAGCATCATCATCTACTCTGCTCTACCACAACTACAATCTATCATCTATAGAATGTAGCTAAGCTAACCAACAATCTAATATAATACAAGAAATATTAAAACTAGTAGTAACTGACTACTAGTGCTCGAGCATTCCATGCCCGCACCAATTCAATCCTCGATTCCTTCATTCATTCGAGAATAAAGACTTGTTTCATCTATGATTACAAATTTGACGCACTCCAGCAGCAGAGATATGCCACATCTCTCGCTAGCTCGCTTATTACTCACTCACTCCACCATGTATTAACTGAAACTGAACCCCAACGTATGAAATGGATATATATGATCCTCGAATCCAGAGGGGTCACTCAAATGGCGGCGGACCACATCAGAGAAAAGGAGAATTCGTTCAGAGCCTCGAGAGCTTGAGCTGCTGCTGCTTAATTAGCGCTAAGGCCTCAACCTGACTGTAATAGAATGCCAGATTTCGCCTCTCGTAGCTAGCAGTTTAATTAGTGCTGTAATGCAGCAAGACAACATCAACTAGTAATATAGTATAGTACGGTAATAGTACTGGCGGCAGAGCAGCAGAGGTCAAACACAAACTCTGCAGTACCAACTAGCATGGTACGGTAATAGTACGATATCTAGTTGGGTTCGCTCTTTCTTTTTTGTTGATGACTAGCCAACTAGTACCAACTAGTACCAAACTCGATCTTACCGACTGAAAATGTGGATCAAAGTCGTTGTCGTCTTGTTCTTCGTTTTCGTCGGCGCGGTCTACATCCTCTGCAGTGCCCGCAGATGTGGATCCACGGCCAATGCAGAGGGGCACCCTTCCCTTGTGGTCACCACCGTCGATTTCGGCCATTGGAAGCCCTACGGACCGGATCGTGATGGCCGCCCGCCGGATCTAGCTCCAGATCGGCTATGAGAGCTCGGGCGTGGAGGGTGAAAGTGGCTGAGACTGCCTTTGCCACCAGGGCGAAGCGGAGGAAGGCCATGGCCGCCATGACCTCAATCCGCTTGCAGCTGCTCCTGGTTGGGGAAGACGTCGAGGTGGGGGAAGGCGTCGGCCTGGGAATTCAAATCCAGGATCTCCCTGCGCATGTGGGGAGCAGACTGGCTGCTACCGGCGAAGGGAGAAGGCGGGGCCTGGGAATAGAGGCCGAACTCGTCGGCGGCGGGGAAGGCAGGATAAGCAGAGGAGCCGGATGCGGCGTAGGAAGAAACCGATGCCTGAGTGAAGAAGTCCCGGTAGTGGTTGTATTGGCCGTCCATGGCGGATGCGCCGTGTGGAGGAGTGGGAGGGGCGGCGCCGGCGTGGGGAGGAACGGAGGCGGTGTCGTGCGGGCGAGCGAGGCGGCGGCGGGGAGGAGTGTGAGCGAGATGATAGGGTTCGGGGAGAGTTCGAGCGAGTTTGAGGGGCATGGGCTGAAAAGTTGGGCCACTAGTCCTAATTAGCACCTCTCAAGAGACTAGTTGACTAGGGACTACTAGTCCCTCTTTTAGTCCCCTTGTTTGACAATTTAGGGACTAAAAGAGGCTACAATCTATTCTCTAGTCCCTAGTCACAAGGAACCAAACAGGGCCTATGTCCGTCTTAACAAACCAATACCGGCTCCCCTGAAAATGTCTGGACAATTTATTTCCCGGGGTCGTCGTCGGTCCTCAGACTCATTGTACTTCGTTTTCTTGAACTTGCAGTTCAAACACGGACAGATGACCTGCTTGCCGGTTTTGATTTTCTTTATTTTATCATGATGACGAACACCACATGGATTCTACTGCGAAAATGTAAAAGAATATTCATACACGTATTTGCAATTAGTATCTTGAAATAAACTATTTGACTGCCAGCCCAGGCTTGCATGGTTTGGACCGGTTCCAACCTGGCCTAATGATCTTGGGTCAAGTTTTTTTATTGTCATTCCGGCCCATAACAGCCCACGGTTGGATTTTGTATTTTTTCTTGATCTATAAAAAAACTCGGGCTGCGTAGGGTAGACACCCCGGGCTGTTTTAGGTTAAGGTAGAGGACTTCCCACCTAGCCCGAGGAAACCCCCGAACCCCATGCCTCGCCAGCACACAGGGGCCAAACACCCGGTTAGAGGGCCGATCCATTTTACCTGTGCTTTGGGAATGCCGGACAGGCGAGGGGGTTGAAAAAACATAAATCTAATTATTTGACTCTAACTTATTAAGATTTCTGTATACCTTCTTTAGCCATGATACTAAGTTTGTTATCTTGATAGTAATTAAGATGGCAGCTCACATACCCGGATGAAGGGGACCTCCAGTAGTTTCATTGGACTGCATGTGTTGCAAATGATCGAAATGGTTGAAATTCCTACTTCCTGTTCTAAGTTATAAAATGTTTTGGATTTTTCAGGCACATTACTTTAACTATGTATCAGACATAGTGTATATGTAAAGCCCCGTTTGACACAGCTTCTCCAGTAGCTTTACGAGCTGTGTGAATTTGATTTGTGGCAAATGGGTATTTTTGAAATGGCTGTACATGTGAAGCTTCTTAAAACGTGCTCTCACAGGGGGTTGGTGTGGGATGAAGCTAATAATAGCTACTACTTCTCCTAGCTTCAACTCGCTCTGTGGGCCCCTGTGTGGTGTTATGTGAGATCATATTTTAAGAAGCTCTATATGTAGTGTTGTTTTGGCAAATGACTCATCAAAACAGTTTCAGTTCTATCGGTACAGCTGCTAGTGGAGCTTAAAAAAAATAGTTCACTAGTGAAGTGGAGCTGTGCAAAACGAAAGACTAAGTGCATAGCAAAAGCTACGAGTACATAGGACTAAGGTAAGGGTTCAAAGGTACATATAATTGACTTTTTTCCGCAATAAAAAATATTTGTGTCTTTTTTAGAAAAGGGAATATATTAATATAAAAAAAATATTTGTGTCTGAACGAAAGAAACTGAAACAACATTTATTTGCAGCCCAAGAATGCAAATTTGTGCATTTTTTGTACAACATTGTGGTCCAACCCGGCCTATCTAAGAAAAAAAACAGTTCATACTACATGTGTCTTCCGCAACATCAATGCACAGCCAACGTCTAATAACCTTCTCTTCAAACTAGTACAACAAACATAACATCAGTGCTTACTCTAAAGGACTCTCAAAAATGAAAAAAAAAGATGTACCAGACTTAATTGAGTGAATGACAGATATGAGAGAGAGAGAGAGAGAGAGAGAGAGAGAGAGAGAGAGAGAGAACGGAGAGTTGTTCACTCCTCACTTTCCAGGAAGCTTCCATGATCAGCGTGACGGAGGTTACAAGAAACGATAAATACCAAGACCAAGACTCTGAATCTGTCAATCACCATCATCTTGCTGTCCACACGTATTTTCAAAGAGGAAACATCTTGTCATGTGCTTCGATGTTTCAGATTAATTCTGCTGAGAGCCTGAGACAACAAACAGCAAAAGCTCAAGATGACCTTTACTTGATTCTAAAGAAAAAGAAAGATGACCTTGCTTCCTATATAACCTCCCGTGCTACGTTTCCCTTCTCCCATTCAATTTTCTGCCCTTTACTTCCATTTTCTGACAACAGCCTATTCTCACCAAAGGAACAAGAACTTTCAGATCGAGCCCAGAAGCTTACGTGGCAACAGCAATGGAGAATTCATCGTGCGCTGCAGCATGCCATTTTTTGGTTCTCCAAGAGGCATGTGGTATCAACCTCTTCCTCAAATTCCTCGCTTGGTCCGTCTCAGTGTTGCAGATTCTCCTCCCTGCTCATGCAAATCCTGCAACTGCAACTGCAACCATAGCTCTGCTGAGAAGGTGACACAGACACCGGTTATTACCACGGACAAAGAAGAAATAGAGAGAAGGAATAAAGATCAAGACGATGAGAAGGCGCTGACACAAGAAGATATCAAGACGGTAATGAGAAACATAGGTATTAATTTGGACCAAGAGAACAGCATGGCCATTGGCAATGATTCTATACCTCGGATTTTCGACGAGGACGAGCCGAGCTTGCAGGAGGTATGGCAGGCATTCTTGGTGTTTGATCACAACAATGATGGGTACTTCGACGCGTTGGATTTGCAGCGAGTGCTCAAGAGTCTAGGACTAGGGGAAGGTGTGGGGATGGATGAGTGTGAGCAGATGATTGCCAAGTATGACACGAACAAGGACGCACTACTGGATTCAGGTTTTTTGCCGAGTGCCTAAGGCACTCGGCAAAGGCCAAATTGCACTCGGCAAAGCCTTTGCCGAGTGTGGCACTCGGCAAAGAACACACGGCAAAAATTTGATCGGTAAAGTGCTCTTTGCCGAGTGTCTTTTATCGGGCACTCGGCAAAGGCTTTGTCGAGTGCCCCAGTGACACTCGGCAAAGAAAAGCGACCGTCACGGCGCCAGTCCCGTTGATGGTCACTTTGCCGAGTGCCAACCCTGCAGGCACTCGGCAAAGATTTTTTATTTTTTTAAAAAAGAATTTCTTTGCCGAGTGCCAACCCTGCAGGCACTCGGCAAAGATTTTTTATTTTTTTTAAAAAAAATTCTTTGCCGAGTGCCAACCCTTCAGGCACTCGACAAAGATTTTTTATTTTTTTTTAAAATTTCTTTGTCGAGTGCCAAGCCTTCAGGCACTCCGCAAAGATTTTTTTATTTTTTTTTAAATTTCTTTGCCGAGTGCCAAGCCTTCAGGCACTCGGCAAAGATTTTTTTTATTTTTTTTTAATTTTCTTTGCCGAGTGCCAACCCTTCAGGCACTCGGCAAAGAGTTTTAATTTTTTTACAAAATTTCTTTGCCGAGTGTCAAACCTTCAGGCACTCGGCAAAGATTTTTTATTTTTTTTAAAATTTCTTTGCCGAAAGGGCTCTCGCCTAAGACTCGGCAAAATTTGAATTTTTTTAAATTTATTTGTCGAGTGCTGCTCGTGTCTTGCAGACTCGCAAAAGTTTGAATTTTTTTAAAAAAAATTTTGCCGAAATGCCATGGTCACAAAGACTAAAGCAAAGATTTTTTATTTTTTTAAATTTCTTTGCCGAAAGTGCCTCTCGTCGGCAGACGGCAAAGTTTGAATTTTTTTTTAAAAAATCTTTGCCGAGTGCCATGGTCACAGCACTCGACAAAGCTGGAAAATGGTCTTCTGGGCGCCTATTTTTTTTAGCTTTGCCGAGTACTGTGACCATAGCACTTGGCAAAGGGGTCCTTTGCCGAGTGCAACACTCGGCAAAGTGACCCAAAACGACAATTTTTAATTTTTTTTTACATTCCATCATGACAAATAAATTCATACAAACATATATCACATATATATCTCATCCATCACATATATATCTCATTCATCCACACATCCATCCACACATATCACATCCATCCGATACCAGTTTGCAGGATACAACAAGAATCTCCTGAATGAGAGACAAAAAAATTGCCAAAGATGATCTTCTAAACATGAAAGTTCAGGTATACACACACACGCTCAACACAGTTGTACACACACCTAGCTTTCTCTTCAGCTCTGACAACAACTGCTTCTAGAATTACAGCATTTCCTCTAGCTTTTCCTAGTTTTGAGCGCCACACCTGAGCTTCTTGAAGAGCAGAATCTCTCTCTGTTAGCAAACGATCTCTCTTCAACAAGAAGCTTTGCTTTCTCCTCCGATTCCCTAAACTGAAACAAAAATACAGACAAGTTCAAATATTTTCATTGACATGAAACATTCTCATGGTGGTCTGAATCTAGTCTATAACACTTTAACTAATAAGCATTAGAAGATATGTGTACTGTATGCGATTGTTACCCTAAGCAAAACGTTCAAGTTCTGACGTAAAAAATCTTCTCTCTTCATCAATTGAACGTGCTGCAGAAGCAGCAGTTTCAACTG